CACTACCAAAGGTCGAGGAACTCATGGACAGACTACATGGGGTGCATTACTTCACCAAGATCGACCTCTACTCAGGATACCACCAGATCCGAGTACGAGCGTTAGACATGGAGAAGGCCACCTTTATCAGCAGATACGGGTCATTCAAGTACCTCGTTATGCCCTTCGGTCTGTGCAATGCCCCAGCCACTTTTCAGAGGTAATGAATATGATTCTACGAGATGGGCTGGACAAATTCGTTTTAGTATTCCTCAATGACATTTTGGTGTACAATTGGACCAGAGAGGAACACATTCAGCATCTTCACAACATTCTATGCTGCCCACAGTCAGACGAGTTCTATGGAAGATTGGCAAAGTGTGACTTCTTTTGTACCAAGGTGGATATCTGGGATTTGATGTGGGGGAATATGGAATAAAGCCATCGCTATCAAAAATTCGTGCGATAGCTGAGTGACCGATACTAGAATGTGGGAGAAATGTATGCTCGTTTGTGGGACTGGCAAATTTATATAGGAAGTTCATTCAGTGGTTCAGTGAGATTGCCAGTCCACTAACTGACCGTACGAAAAAGGATCATAAGTTTGAATGAAGCCCAAAGGAGGAAGAAGCCTTTGAAAGGCTCAAGACAATATTAATCTCTACACCTATACTGCAGTTGCTTGATTTTGGCAAGAAGTTTACAATAACCACAGATGTGTCAGAGGTGTCTATGAGAGGTATATTGCAGCAGAACTTTGGTCAGAAGTTGCAACTAGTGGCGTATGAGAGCAGGAAGCTGAACCTGACAGAGTGCAGATACAGCACATATGAACGTGAAATGTTGGGGATTGTGTGGGCCGTTGGCAAGAGGAGGCACTACCTAGCTGACCAACACTTCGTCATTCAGACTGGCCGCAACTCCCTCAAGAATCTTCCAAACTAGTCATCGGTCAACAGAAGGATTTGGAAGTGGATACAAGTGTTGCAAGGTTACGACTGCGACATCTGCATATTGTGGGCAAGGTCAACCTTGCAGACTACTTGTCTAGCGTAAAGGAGCTTAAGAGCATGGTGGATATACGCACCCAGGAGGAGTCAATGGTATAGGGATTGAGGTTGGGTGATGAGGAGGTTACAGATGAGCACATCTAGAATAAGCTGGACAAGGTGTTCAAGGGGCCCCTTGTCCCAGGACAGATGCAATAAAAGCATTAGCGGTTTTGAGTGAGTGTCATTCTTTATTGTCAGTGACTCGTTCAAGGATTTCATTGGATTCATCATTGTAGGAAAAGATCAAGTCAATATACGAGAAAGATTCCCGATGGACTGACATCGTGTCTGAGTTGAGGTCGGACCCACAGAAAAATCTGGTCAAGAGAGGAGTCAAGAACTATAGACTAGCTCACCATTGCTTGGAGATAAATGATTGCGAGGGACCAAAGGAAGTTAACAGGTGGAGATTGGTTATTTCTAATATCCCTGAGGTCAAGCAGAAGATCATGGAGAAGGTGCACTTAGTGCCCTACTCAGCACATGTGGGATATCAGAAGAGGTTGACAAAACTACAGCAGAACTTCTACTGGCCGGATCACACACTAGACACCAGGGAATTTGTGACCAGCTGTCCAATGTGTCAGTCAGAGAAAAGCGTGCATCGCTAATTAGTAGGACTTCTTCAGCCACTATAGCTACCAGAACAAAAGTGGGCAGATATCATGGATTTCATCATAGGACTGTAGTGGTCAGATTCAGGCAGAGACGGAATCCTCACAGTGGTGGATAGGGTTACCAAGATGGTACATCTTATTCCGGTGTACCAGACCATCACAACAATAGAGACAGCCCAGATTTACTAAAACTAAATGGGAAAACTACACGGGATTCCAAGATTAGTCATCAGCGACAAGGATCAAAGTTTCTTCTCTAGGTTTTGGCAGGAGTTCTGGAGGTTGTTGGGAAGCAAGCTGAGGATGTCAACAGTGCACCACCCACAAAACCGATGGACAAATAGAGGCTGTCAACCAGGTGGTGGAGATGACATTGTGATGCACACTACACGCGAGTCAAGAGCCCCGCCGGTGGGAGAAATATCTCTCAACGGCAGAATTCACTATCAACAACAGTCCGTGGACAGCAACAGGGTATACGCCATTCTATCTAAACTACAACTACCACCCGTGTACCTCGGCAGAACTTATTTGAGACGTTGACACCACCTTCCACAAGCGAGTCAACATTTTCGTGTCTCGAATATAGAAGATCTTCACCAAGGCTCATCGGTATCTGCACAGATCTCTGGACAGGTAGAAGAACTACGCATATGAAAGACGACGTGAACAGGTGTTCTATACAGATGACTAGGTGCTACTCAGTACGGAGAACTTATTGCTCAAGAATGCACTTGTACGCAAGCTAAAACATAGGTTCATTGGGCCTTTCTTCACTACTCAGAGGATTGGACCTATTGCATACGAGCTGGATCTACCATCTACGTGGAAGATTCATCCCGTATTCCACATGAGCTTGCTACGCCCCTTCAGGACATCGCAGTGGACTACGTCTACTGAACCTGTAGTGGGAGAGCTGGAGCCAAAGGAGGATGTGCCTTACGATGTGGAGAAGTTGTTGAGGTGGCGGTGGCGAGGACCAAGTAACCAACGACAAAATGAGTTCCTTGTGTTGTGGACATGATGGTCTCTTGACGATGCAACATGGATCCCGGTGGAAAAATTCATAAGCACCAGAGAATTAAAGAAGATGATGCAACGAGACAAGCTCAAAGAGGACCAGAGGTAGCCGACAGACGAGTGATTTATTTTGGAGGTCGAAAACTACCACCAGGGGAAGGTAGTTGTTGTGTGAACTTAATCTTTGGTTTTTTATTCAAGCAGAGTGAGATGCAACGCAAAGGTGCGCAAACCAATTATCCGCGCAGAGGCTCTGCATCGAGCGCAACGAGGCGATTTTGAGATTTTGGCCATTTTTGGGCCATTTTGCTGCATAGAAATGAGGGCTTTGAGCCTCAAAGTTTGAGGACGGTCTGGGTGCTTGTGGGGATGGTGGTTTAAGTACAGGGTGACTTGAGGGTTATGTAACCGTGCTATGTGCCGCAGGGACAAGATGCTAGGAACCCTGTAACGAACATCCCGTTTTGCTCTCACAGCCTGCCTGCGAACCACGCGCAAGGCAACGCCAGACCAATCCGCCCTTCCAACTGACGCACCGCTGCGGTGCGACACCTCTGCGGCAGAGGCCGTTCTGCCAGGGGGCCCACCATATTCGTGACGCATCGAGATTGCTCAAGCGACCGTGCCAATTATGCCTGGCCAATCGCCGGAGGGATCGTTGATCCATCGCACGGGGCGCACGCGGAAAAAACACATGCCACTGGCTATTGTAGGTGATTGGCCCCAGACCAGCCTATCACCATGCACAAGGGGGAGGCTCGGTCCGACCCCTCGATGTTACTGTTCTAGATCACTACCCTGCCCCGCACGGGCCGCTCGGCCCGGGGAGCAACCGCCCCAACACAACGCCTTTCCCGGATAGCCGGTCTGCCCGGGCTGCCATCCTCGGACCGTGACAACCGGACAAGAGCGAACGAGCGCCCCAATGACGCCCGCCTCCCGCGAGGCGAAGGGGTCCGCACCGACCATACGCGGACCACCAGGCGACGGAGGGATCTGGGGGCCCCGATAAAACCACGGCGCTTGGGCCCACCCACCACCTAGGCGGGACCACCCCGGCCTACTCCCTTATTGTATAATAATATAAGTTCCAGTTCAGGTTCTGTTACCATATCTTGCGCAGGGCGTCCCCCACACCAAAAGACCATTAGTAGGGCGTCCCCCACATCAGGCCTATGTGCGTAACAGCTACGGCTTTATTCCGGCCTTGAGTGCTTCCGTTGCATGGGGTTTGGTGCAAGGAAGGCGGTTGTGTCCGGCTCATAGAGTTGTGCAGAATGACCGTATCTATAACAGACTCTACGCAGTGTTTTTGTACTGTATTGTATCTGGAGAGTGCCAATTCGAGTTTGTCTACTTGCAGTTGTATTTAAACCATTATATACTGGCCCTTACTTTTATTTTCATTTCTTTCAACATTTATTATGTCATTTTCTTTCCATTGGCTTTGCTAATAGCCCATAACCTTAGTCAATGCAGTTGTATTCTCATAGAATATCTACAAATTACCAGCATCAACTTTGTGCCCCTTAAAAAAAATAGTTTTCAAACTCCTGGGCACTTTCCATACTTTCTTTTCTATGACTGAAACGGTGGCATACTCAAGCCATCCCATTCAGTGGGGGCATTGGTCGTGATTCTCTTGTGAGTGCATCACAATCCGGTCACCAGAACGTGCAAAGATGGCTGCTAATTGCAGGCCATTTTGCAGTGAATCGAACAACATCCGGCCAGAACATCTCCTATTTTCGTCCCACGCGCTCCCACCCTTCGGGACGGTTTCCGGCTGTACCTCCCGGGCCTTACTGTCTCCAGGGATGCGTCATCACGAAATAATATTACTGCCTGCACCAAATCGGTGATAGCTTGCACCAAGTCACGTGCACACTTTGTCCTAACCTTAGTTTTAGGTTTAGGTTTAGTTCAGGGTGAGTTTTAGGGTTAGGGTTAGGGTTAGGACAGGTTTAGGTTTAGGTTTTAGGGTTTAGGTTTTATGTTAGGTTAGTTTTGACGGAGTTGGACATGATGTGCACGTGACTTGGTGCAAGAAGTCACCGTTTTCGTGCAAGCAGTCACCGATTTGATGCAGGGAGTAATTTTATGCCCGTCATCACCCTCGCGGGGTGCGCATCATTCCTGAGTCCCCTTGGCACGTGATCCTCCTGTGGGCCGGGCGCCAGTACTGGGCCAGGTCCCCTCCCTGAGCGGGATCAGCGCCCATCGATGTTGACTGATATCGGAGCCCCTTGGGTCCTCCCGCCCAACAGCAGGGAGGCCGGTGGCCGGAGGCAGCACCGCGGCGCTCGTGCGCTGGGCGGGGCCGCCGCCGGCGATGGGCTTCGCCAAGACGTGCGCCCGAGCCCTCAAGGCTCTGTGGAGCGGGGGCTCGGGGGCCCACGGCGCGAAGGGCGGGCCGTCGGGTCGTCCCCCAAGCGGTGCAGGAGCGGCCAGGTGGGTGTCATCGCCGCGATCTCGATCCCCATGACCGGCCTGCCTGCCGCCCGCGCGCCTTCTGAGTCTAGGCGCTGTGTGTGCGCACGGTGGCAGTGGGCGAGCGGGGGAGGATGGCGGCGCGAGGTGCGGCGAGACGGGCCCCAAGCCCCTGGGTCCAACGCAGTGGGAGACGACGCCCGGCGCCCAGGGGCCGCGATCAGGCGGTGGAGCTGGGGCTTCGGGGCCGCCCGGCCTCGCAGCGGCCGGGGGGACCGGCCTGAGGCGTCACAGCGGGGGCCGCGACGGCGATCAGCGCCACGGCGCCGCCGACGGCCGCGGCGCAGACTTCCCGTGCGCCGACGACGCCGGGCCCCGCGCGAACCCCGTGCCACGCCGGCTGAAGAATGTTCCCATCAAGGGCCCCAAGGAAGGGGGCTGGAGGTTGGGCAGCGAGTGGCCGCGCGTGGAGGGCCTTCGCGGGGGCAGGGACCCGTCCAGGTGGCAGAGGGGCCCGAGAGCGGGCAAGGGCGGGAGGCCGTACCAGCCTGAGGCGCCCCCAGCGGGCGATCCGGCCGGGCGGCCGGGCACGCAGCCAAACATCGAGAAGCAGCTGGCGGCGCGGGGCGGGGCCGGCCAGTTGGGTGCCCGTAGGAATCGGAGGTCGGCGTCCGCGGGGGCCAGGCTGGACGGAGGCGACCTGCGGCGGGGCGTCGCGCCGAAGGAACCGGGTGCCAGAAGCGGGCGGTCGACGGCCCCCGTGCTGGGCCCGCCGCCCAGGAAGATGATGTCACGGGCCAACGGCGCGCCGCCGTCGGCCGGGGACGATCCCGGCCAGCGCGCCGGCAGGGGGACCGGTGCACGAAGCCGAGGGAGAGCGGGATCCGCCGACGCCGGCCGTCGGGCCGATCCGGCCGTGGACGGCGGCGGGAGCTCGTCGAGGTCGGAGCCGCGCAGGCGCGGCGACAGGGGCCCCGTGTGGGACAGGCTGAGCAGGTCCGCCTCGGAGTACTGGGGGAGACCCCAGGGGGGCGGGGGGCCGGCGCCCACCCTGCGCGATCGCCGCAGCCTGGGCAGGGGCGAGCCCGCGGTGGAGTCCGCCCCGCCGCAGTGGAGGTCGTCGAGGTCGATGTCCGCGCCCGGGCTGGCGCCGATGCCGGCCGCGAGGGCGGGGGGCGGCAGGGAGCGGACCAGGAGCAGGGGCAGGCGCAGGGCGCTGCCCGAGCGCGCGAAGTCGGCGGAGCCGACGACGGCCGAGGCGAACAACAGGGCGAGCTTCGAGTTCCCCAAGGCAAAGCCCGATCACAGGAGGAGGCGGGCGAAGTCGGGGTCTTTCGTGCGCAATTCGTGTGACGCGTCCGATGGGGGGCTCCCCCCCCGGCCGAGCTCCAGGTCGAGGGCGTCGACGGAGGCGGGCGGCGGCGGGATGAAGAGTTTGCCGGAAGGCAAGCAGGGCGTTGGTGATGGGGATAGGGCCAAGGGAGGGGAGGGGAAGGAGAACCGTTCCGCGGCCATGAACGGGGGCGGGCCGGAAAAATCGGATCCCGTTTGCGAGGAGGCGGGCAGGCTGTCGCCCGACTCGCCAGACCGCCTGGATGCATTGCTCTGTGCCGGGAGTGCGCATGGATCGAGGGGTGGATCGGTGGGAAGCCACAAACCGGACTGGAGCTTCAAGTGCAGCGGCGTGACGAGGAGCGCGGGGCCGAAACTAGAGAAGGTCAGGGAAGATGTCGGTGAGTCGGGGTCGTCACACGGTAGGAGAATAACATCGAGACAACCGATAACGGAGGGCAGGGTCAGCGTGAGGGGCTCCTGCACACTCAATAAAGAACCGACGGGGATTTGCAGTAGAGGGGGGGAGGAGCATTCGCTGTACGAGAAGCCGCACACCGCGGTGGGAGAGGAGCAGAGTTACGTGCGGCACCGCGTTTCAGATCAGGAGATTGTTGCGGAGCCCGCCAACGTCGCACATAGTACAACAGACGAGACGAACACAACAATGTTGGACAGGAAGAGCATTGCGTCGTCCACAGGGACGGGCCAGACTACGAGCGCACAGGAGACGTCCAGGAGCAGCAGCGCTTCGGTTTCTGGACAGGAAGGCAGGCAGAAGCGGTTTGGCAACATCGAAGTCATGCTTTGCACCCCTGATGGGACGACACAGGGGCGAGGCTCTGTTGTGTTGCCTGTGGATATGCCCACCACGCAGGCGATGGTGCCTTCAGGATCGCCAACAACACTGCCAGCCTCGGGGACTGAGGGAATGAAGCGCCCTTTGGACTTCCCAAGAAGTAGACCCTCTTCGGAAAAACAACCTCTGAGGCTAACTAATGGGAAAGCTGCGGAAGGTGCACCACCAAAGAGCCCACCATTGAAGCTGCTTCAAAACTTTGCCCTGCCTGATGGAAGCGCTGGAAACGGTGTGGTGTTGCTGGAGGAGAAGGCTCTGGACGTGCTGGAGATCACTGGGCAGCTGCTGCAGCTTGCAAAGGAAAAGCTGCCTGTCGCCGTGCAGAAGGAAAGTCTCAACAAGAAGACAGCTGATGCTATGGAATCTAAGCTTGATGTGGAAGCACCCAAGGGCAGCCCATCGCTGTCCACTGTGTCAAGTGACCATGCCTCAGGAAGCAGCATCCATGTGGGCAAAGAAGTCCAAGCCAATTACTCAGAAGGGAGTGTGAGCATCCCAGCGAAAGAAGGGACCAGCGCTGGCCATGGCGTGGGTGTCTCTGATGTACAGGAACTAGCTGGCACATCTGCAAGCCGTCACCTGCTGGACACTACAGGCGATGATGTTGCTGGCCAGGCACCAGGTCTGCAGCCATCGCATCCCATGGCGGATCTGGCGAGGGAAGAATCAAGGGAGGTGCCAAAACCGGATTTTGACGATGCGATTAAAGTGGGTGTTTGTGTGGAGGACGACGATGATGGCACGGCATCTGAGGCTGCATCCTCAGAACCTGTGGTGCCTGTTGCACCTCAGGGATGCCCTTATTGGCCACGTCCCAATGCCGAGAGGCCCTCTGAACATGCGCGTTCGGAAGGCTTGGAGGTGAGCAACAGAGCGGCGTCGCGAACAGTTCCCAATTCGCCTTCCACTGGCTGCAACAACGTCAAGGCGATCCCGCCCGTGCATCTGGGCGCAAGGGTGCAAGATTGGGTCATCCCTCACCCGGAAGGCGATGACACGCAGCTCTCGACCATCAAGGCGGTCGCTGGGCCCGCACCCAAGCAGGAAGGCGAACGCCCCGCAGGGGAGAGCGAAAAGCCATCCGAAGTTTGGGCGGGCTCCATTGCGGCGACACAGGGATCGGTGCCGAGCGCCTCCCATGCTCAGGAGCCATCGCCAGGTCAGAAATCAGATGCTGCCGACCAGGCGACGCCACAGCCGATTTCTGCGCCGCAGGCGCGGTCGCAGTCGAGCGCGTCCAGTTCCTTGGGGTCCACGGCGACGGCGTGCTCCGTAGGAGTCCAGTCCTCGCCTCGGCAGCAGGGAGCTGCGGCCGACGCCAAGGGGGATGCCTCGCAGACCGAGTGGCCACGCGTATACACCGTCCAGGCCACGCCGGGCGACGGCAAGGTGGCCGCCGCGTCGACCACGACGATCGACGACGACTTCGAGTTTGACCCGCCCTCGCCTCGCCACCCAGAGATGCTCAAGGTCGCGGGGGGCTACGAGGTGTGGAGTTTCAACCCCATGTGGCAGGAGGAGAGGCGCACGCCGACGCCCAGCATCGGGGACCCGTG